GAAAACTAAATGAAGTTAAAATAAGAGGAAGGAACAAAAATAACGTAACATTAATAGAAACAGGATGAAAAGGGAGTAAAGGAGGAGGAGATGGAGGGTACAGAAATATGGCTACAACATCAACATAAGCAAACACAAATGAGGCCACACTTTTACAAATAAAAGTCAGAAAGAGCATGAGTAGTCTACAAACCAAAACAAAATTGAGAAAAACTCATGCTCTGTGAATTTATGTAAGCTTGTCAGTACTCTTCTCTGGTGCCCCCAACGAGTTCCCCTAGTATCTTCAGTGTATTCTTCATCTAATGAGATCCAGATGCTCTTCCAAGCACCCCCAGAAGCTGTCTAAGTCCCAGACCCGAGAACATTCCACATCCACTCAGGGACATCTCAGGAGATGGAGTTCTTTCCAGGGTCCATTCTGCCAAACCATCTATTCACAGGGTTCTGCCAGAAATTTCTCTCACTTCTGCCTGCTGCACCTTCTCTTGGTTCCACCAGGCCTCAGCCAATATTACCAATAGAATAAGGAAAACCAGCCCTGCCACGCCCATCCTGATTGAATTTTCCAGAGTGTAATCCTGCATGACAGAACCTGCAGGGGAAACAGGAATCTTTATCAATGGGTCCGGCCATCCATCAGGCCTAGGGAGGCTGTCATCTTTCTCCTCCCCAATCATGCTAGGTTTGAGACTGTGCTATTGCTGTACTCGGGTGGAGAGCCTCCATGGGCATGAGTCTATTCACCTGAAAGTCCTTTGTTACTACCTGGACTTAGAATTGCCCCAGTTTCTCTCAAGCCTGCTTGAAGGATACAGGAGAACCATGGTCCTCAGTTTCATCTGTATCTACTATAAATATCAAGGACTCATTTTCCCACCCCATAAAAATGAGACCAAGAAGGAAGCCTTCTGGAACTTCCATATTTAGGGTTAAGGTCTGAGTGACCGTTGAGATGCAGTGAGCTAGGTAGGGTATGTTCAAGAGGAAAACAGAGGCAAGATCAAGTGATGAAAAATATCAAGAGAGGAGATAGATTTAAGGACCACCGCAAGGAATCTTCAGGTTCTGTGTGTCTGCTGACTATCCGCTGTATTCACAGACTTCCTGTGTCCCCACCCTCTGAGATGGGTATCCCTGGTACTCACCTTGTGTGAGGTTAAAACGATATGAAGAGTTGGTATCGTCAGGAACTGAGAGGCAGAGGGGGAAAAGAAGATGACGTCTTGATAATTCCTACAACTGCTTCCAGCCCACCTCTTCTGTGCTGGCTCCAAGAACTTCAATTTATTGTATTTCAAGTCACTTCTCCCTAAGAATGTTCACGGATACTTCCCGGCACCATTGGCTGGTGACCCTTTCTTGAGTCTAACCCCCTGATGTCATTCTCTTGAATATTAATTTACTCCACAAATTTTGGCATTGTGACCGGTCTGGCAGCGATACAGCATACCAAAACTGACTGAGAAGATACTTTTTCTTTTCTTTTCTTTTCTTTTTTTTTTTTTTTTCGAGACAGGGATTCTCTATGTAGCTTTGCAGCCTATCCTGGCACTCGCTCTGGAGACCAGGCTGGTCTCGAACTCACAGAGATCTGCCTGCCTCTGCCTCCCAAGTGCTGGGATTAAAGGCATGCATCACCAATGGCCCCTGCCCAGCTCTCTTCACAAGGTATTGATGGAGAGAGCCTCTTTCTGACCCATATGCTGTATCATATGGTTTCTCTGCTGTTTGTGTCTGTTCTTAACTCCTCCGTTCCCCCATCTGTGCTTTTAAAACTTGTTTTATTTTTTTGACATCACAATATATCTCCCTCCCTTTCCCCCCACTCAAAACCTTGCTGTTTTTACGTAATGATATGAGCTTGAGTTTCCTTTATCATTGTCACTGTCGCTAAAACTCCCATCAAGTCTACTTCCCTCCAAAAGTAACTATTATCTATCCTCCACCTGCTTATTCCCATCCTAGAATATCCAATACATATATAAACCAGAGCCTACGGAATAAGTCCGGAGACCCTCACCTGTGATTACCAGGTCCAGTGGGTCGCTTGGGGCTGACCACACATGGGAATGTTTACTAGGAGAACTGTAACATCTGTAGGTCCCAGCTTGTGCTGCAGTCATAGGAGCAATAGAGATGTTGGCTTGGGAGCCACTAGCGTAAGGCTCCGCAGCAAGACACATTTGGACCCTGTTTGCATCCTCTCTGTAGCCAACCAGAATGAAGGTCTCATGCAGGGCTTCTGAACAGCATTGCAACGTCACCGTCTCTCCTGATTTTATTGAAGGTGATGGTAGGGCCAAGAGGGAAGGCTTTCTGTAGACTCCTAAAAACAAAAGGGAGTGTGAGTTTTAGAGTCACTCTTCCTCACCCCACATCGTGGAAACTGGGATAACAAAAGTTCTCCAACCCCAAGTCTTTCTTCCTACGCATATCCCCAGGTCCTCTTCTGTGGCTGTCTTCCTACCCACACACTTTTGTTTTTCTGCCTTTTGTTCGGTTCTCTGTGTCTAATAGTTTCAGACTCCATCTGACTGGGGTGGTCCCATGCAGATGACTGTTGCAGTCATCTACCACAGACCTCTTCCATTCTCTATGATGGATGAGGGTAGAGAACATGGCATGCTGGGTTGAAAGCTCCCCGTTGTGTGGGCCTAGGCCCTATCCCAAAGAATACGATAGACTCTGATGACCCCCTATGAAAGGCCTCACCATCCAGGGGGAGCAGAAAGGATATGTGATAGGTAGGGTTTTAGTTGGGGGGGTAGGGGAGGACGGGAAGGAGAGGGAACTGGGGTTGTCATGTAAAACAATCTTGTTTCTAATTCAAATAAAAAATCTGCAAAAAAAAAGAAAAAGAAAAAGAAAAAGAAAGCTCCCCTTTGTATACATTTCAAGTTCTTTTGGGGAAAGTGGAATCTCTGCCAGGATGTGACAATAGCACATGTCTGGCAGATGACAGGAGCTCTTCTGTGTTTCTCTCTGGACCCTAGACTGTTTCACCTAGTGTGCCTGGTCCTTGCCTGTGGTGCCAGATCACACAGGGCAGCTTGAGTCTGAATTCATGAACATCACCCCCTTTCAGCCTCAGTACCTTGGTCATTCATGTCTCAGCATCACTTTTGTCTCTGACTTGGGTTTGCTTTTAGTTGCTAATTGCTGATGTTAAAAAAAATGACCGTAAAGATGACACAGGAAAAGAACATGCATGAATAGCATATTACAGTTTCAGAGGTGTGAAGTGTGAAATGAACCCACTGGTTATGAGTCTTATGTCTAAAGGGCTGCATTTCTCCCAAGGGCCCCAGGAGGAGAATATATTTCTTTTTTCTCTTCCAGATTATAGAAACCTCCTGAACTCTGTGGCTTGTGGACACTTCATTTTCAGAACCCGGAAAAGAAAATGGAGTATCTCACACGCTGTCTTGCTCTGACCTTCACTATCCTATTCCTTCTCTTTTATGAGAGATTCTAGCTACTCTAGCCTACATGGATCATCAAGGACTTTCTCTTCATCTTAAAGTCAACTGATTAAACAATGCATCCTCAACCTCTGTCTTCCTTCCATGCGGGAACTGTTTTGTACCAACTCTCTGGTGGGAATTCACCAGAGTCTAGGAAAACTACATTAGTACCTTCTAAGTGCAGTTTCCTTCGTCACCTAACCATCTCCCATTAAGCCTGACTCTTAAAGATCTCTCCATCACAACACATCCACCCTTGGAACCAAGATTTTAGCACACGAACTTTACGTGGAAGTTAAACAAATGAAAACACATGACAAATGCTAATTAGCTATAGGGCTGGACTATGAATATCCCAGTGGAAAATTTTCCTGACTACCTAAGTGCCCAGTCCCCTGTATTCAAGTTTCTGGAGCCTGAGACACTTCAAGACGTCCCTGCTATATTCTGAGGACTCAAAATCTCCATGGGAATAATAGGACAATGAAGAACACCTCCAACATGAACTGTCTCACCTGTAACTATGATCAACAGGGGGTCACTGATTTCTGAAAATCCGTAGGGGTGGTTAGGATCAAAGCCCCGACATTTATAGGTCCCAGCATGTGCCGTGGTCACGGGGTATATGTCAAAGCTGTCATGGAATACGATGTCTTGGAACTCCGGGATGTGGATTCCTTCTTCCTTGTACAAACAAAACACTTCAAACCCAAGTTGGGACTGACACTTCAGAGTAACATGTTCTCCAATGGAAACCAAGGGACCTGGCCAAGCAGACAGGGTGGGCTTGTCAGCAAACCCTATGAAGAGAGAATGACCCAGTATTAGAAAGGAGGAGGCAGGAGCCCCTCCTTCTCCTTTTTGCTCAGTATCTCCCCTTGCTTATGCATTTCTACAGTCATTCCCACGCCAATAAATCCAGAACTACATGATGACACCATATTGTACTTAAACTTTTGAGCAAGTACTGCCTAAGAGATCCAATACATTACGAAAAGAAGTTACGCACAAGAATGTAGTCATCGCCTAATCTTACAAATATACCTTTTCTTCACTCACTCATAAATTAAAATATTTGTCAATCCTTTGTCAATGTGGGGGAAAAAAAAAGAATGTAGACATTGCAGACTTTGATGGTCCCCCATGGGAGGCCTAACCCTCCCTGATGAGTGGATAGGGAGTGGAAAGGGAGTGGGGAGCATGGGGAGATGGGAGGGAGAGGTAACTGGGGTGGCTAAGTAAAATAAGATTGATTTTAAGTTAAATAAAAATTAATTTAAAAATAAATAAATAAGTAAAATTACAATTTTTTAAAAAAAATGTAGTCATCAACAAAGAATGAAATGACATCAGATTGCATCAGAAAAGCGTTAAGCAGCTGAGTCTGACTGGAATAATATGGAATTCCCAGGACACAGCACAAGGTTCTCCCAACTCTTCCGGTACAGTGACAGCTGACCTCTGCATGCTCCATCATCATGGATGTCCTGGGAGCTTGCATCCTTATCTAGTGTTGAGAAGGTCTGTTGTTCCAAGCTATGTGACATACGTCACTTTTCCTAGACACTCGGGACTCTTCCAGTCTCTTCTAGTCCCCAGTGTTGATTGAGTCAAACAAGGAAAGTGAATCTGGGCACCTCTGGGACAGAATCCAAGAGCATATCTCCAGGTCTTCCACCTTCCAACTTCTAAGATGTCACTCACATGCCTTCCTGTTAGTCTTTACACCAGCCCAACCCCTGCGCTGTTTGCCTTCTTGTTCCATAAAAATCTTTCTGTATAGCATGAGAAGTAATCCATGGTCTGGGGTCAGACTCACCCATTTGTGTCCATGTCCTCTGGAACAAGAAGAATCCTGGAGGGGAAAACCCATAATAGATGAGGTGTCTCCTTTCAATAGCCTGGTCCTCTGTCCCCTTGCCCCTGTTGGGCCTCTGTGCATTAGAAGTCAGAGTCCACTCTGTGAAAATGAACTCACCCACCAACATCCACCATTGCAAGGAAGCCGGGCTCCCTGCTGTGGACAGATCTAGCATCTCTGGCTGATATTTCCACCCCTGTATTCCACACCATTCTTTCCCAGCAAAACTCACCAGGACACATCAGGCTAAAGAGCATAGACAGCATGGTGCGGCTTCTGCTGACAGGAGGCAGTGCCCCAATAAAAACCATACAGGATTTCCTGAGAAGCCCAACTCATCTGTTTCGCTAGTTGACCACACACAGCTGAGAAGGCTGTTATTTGCTGGCACCGTGCATGTTGTATATGGCTCACAAATCAGGACGGCTTTCAGATAATTCTCAAGACTCCAAGTCTTGCTCTGCAGATTTTTCACCATGACCATATTGGCACATGCCTTGACCTCAGGTCGTCCCATTGAGCTAGGGGTGGGCCCTAGGGAATCCTTCTCCTAACCATATTGAAATATTTGAGTAGCTTGATCCTGAAAATGTCTTTAATTAATTAGTTATGTAAGCTGGCACATGAAAATTACATGTCTGTATCATAGCCTAAATGACAGTCATGCACTGTGGAGGAATTAGTTAATCGTAATCAAATATTAATAATGTTATTTCTCAATTTTGTCCTTTGTGAAGGTAGAACACTTCTATCCACTGGGTGAAGCCTGAGTGAAGGAGATCACAAAGCAAAGGAGATCCCCACAGTGACAATCTTCCTCCAACAAGGCCACACCTCCTAATTGTGCGATTCCCTATTAGTATATGGTGGCCAATACATTGAAACTACTACATATTCCAATAGCATACAATTTTTATTACTATAGCTCTGTAGTATACTTTGAAATCGGGAATGCTGAGACCGCCACTTCTTTTGTTGTTCAGGATAGTTTCAGCTATCCAGAAATTTTTTTTCCATATGTAATTGAAAGTTGTCCTTTCAAGGTCTGTGAAAACTTGTATTGGAATTTTCATGAAGATTGCACTGAATCTGTGGGTTGCTTTTCACACGATGGCCATTTTTACTATGTTAATCCTACAGATCCATGAGTATGGGAGATCTTTGAAATTTCCAGTATTCACTCCAAATTTTTTCTTCAAAGACTTGGAGTTTTTATTATACAAGTCTTTCCTTTGCTTGGTTAGAGTTACTCTGAGATTTTTTTTAATTATTTGATGCTACAGTTAAAGGTGTTGTTTCTTTTATTTCTTTCTCAGCCCATTTATCATTTGTATACCGGAGGGTCACCAATTTTTATGAGTTACTTTTGTATCTGGCTACTTTCCTTAAACTGTTTATCAGATGCAGGAGTTCCTCAGTGGAAAGACAAGGGTTACTAATGTATACTGTCATAGCATCTGCAAATAAAAATACTTTGATGTCTTCCTTTCCAATATGTATCCTTGTGATTTCCTTCTGTTGTCTTGTTGCTCCAACTAAAAAATTCAAGTACTATATTGAATAGATAAGAAGAGAGTAGATAACCTTGACTTGTTCCGGTTTTAGTGGAATTGCTTTGAGTTTCTCTCTAAGTCGATGTTGGCTATGGGTTTGCAGTAACTTCCTTGATATGTTTAGGTATGTTCCTTATATCCCTAATAAGTACAGGGCTGTCGTCATTAAAGGATGTTAGATCTTGTCAAAGACCTTTTCTGCATCTAATGAGGTGATCTTTTGGTTTTGGTCTTTCAGTTTGTTTATGGCATGGATTGAATTTATTGTTTTTTTGCATATTGAACCATCCCTGTATCTCTGGGTTGAAGACTACTTTATCGTGTTGGATGATCTTTTTGATGCATTCTTGAGACTTTGTTTCAAAGAATTTTGTTAAGTCATTTTGCATGTTCATAAGGGAAATTGGTCTGGATTTCTCTTTCTTTGTTGACTCTTTATGTGGTTTGGGTATCAATGGTAACTGTGGCCTCATAAAATGAATTTGGCAATGTTCCTTCTACTTCATGGAAAAATTTGAGGATTATTGGCATTACTCTTTTTGAAAGTTGCAGAATTCTGAGCTAAAACTATTTATCCCTGGGCTGTTTTGGTTGGGAGAACTTTAATGACTGCTTCAATTTCACTAGGGATTATAGGTCAGTTTTAATTGCTTATCTGATCTTGATTTAACTTTAGTAAGTGATAACTATCAATAAAATTATCCACTTCATGTATATTTTTCCATTTTGGCAGAGTATGGGCTTTTTAAAAGTACGTCCTTATGATTTTCTGGATTCTCTTGGTGTCTGTAGTTACGTTCCACTTTTCTTTTTGTGTTTTGCTAGTTGGAATGTTTTCTCTCTTTGTTTTATTAGTTTGAATAAGTGTTTGTCTATCTTGGTGATTTTATCAAGAACCGAATCCTTGTTTCATTAATTCTCTGTATTCTCTTTGTTTCTATTTTATTGGTTTTAGCCCTCATTTTGATTATTTCTAGGTGTGCTCTCCTATCCATTATGATTAGTTATTTTGGTTGTAGAGGATTCAGCTGTGTTATGTTGCTAGTATGAGATCTCTCCAGTTTTTTTTTCTCATGTAGACACTTTGTTCTATAAACCTTCTTCTTTGCAAACTTCAATTGTGTCTCATAAGTTTGGGCATGTATACTCATTTTCATTCAATTCCAGAAAGTCTTTGAATTGTTCTTGTCTTGATCAATTTTTCATTCAGCAGGGAGGTTTCAAGTTGCATCATTTTGCATACATTTTGTTATTTGTCATAGTTGCTGTCCAGCTTTATTCTGTGGTGGTTTAATACAACACAGGGAGTTATCTCAACATTCTTATATCTTTTGAGACTTGCTCGGTGTCCAAGTACGTGGTCAATTCTGGAGAAAGTTCCATGAGGTATAGAGAAGAAGGTGTATTATTTTGTGGTTGGGTGAAATATATTATAAATATAGATTAGGTCCATTTGGTTTATAAAATCTGTTTGTTCCAGCCTTTCTCTGTTTAGTTTGTGTCTAGATGGCCTGTCCATTGCTGAGAGTGGGGTATTGAAGTATCAGTGTGTGTGGTTTAAACTGTAGTACTTTGTAGTGATGTTTTGTTTATAATCTAACAAATAAAGGTTTCCTGAAGATCAGAGTGCAGAGATAAGCCACTAGTTAGCCACACACCTAGTTAAGAGCTAAGCCACTAGTTAGCCATAGAGAACAGACAGTGGTGGCCAGGCATTTAATCCCAACACCCAGGAAACAGAAGCAAATGGCTCCCTGTGAGTTCAAGGCCACCCTGGGCTATATGAGAATGAATCTATCTAAAAGGGAAACAGAGCTCACACCTCTGATCCCAGCACTTTGGATGACATGCCTTTAACCCCAGCACTAGAGAACAATATAAGGCATGAGCCTAGGGCAGTCTGAGGTTTGGTGGAGAGCATGGCAGTCTGCAGTGACACTGAGGATACTATCACCCCTCTTTGGTCTTAGCCTTGGTAGAGATAAGAACTCTCTAGTGGCTTGGCTGCTTTGCTTTACTGATATTCAACTTGAATCCCAGTATCTGTCTCTGGGTTTTTATTATTTGTGCTACAGTATTTTTTTTCTCTTACAAACATGGATGCCCTTGTGTTTGGAGAATAGATGTTAAGGATTGAAATATCAACTTGGTGGAGTTTTCCTTTGTTGAATATGTAGTATCCTTCCCTATCTCTTTTGATTATTTTTTGTTTGAACTCTATTTTGTTAAATACTAAAATGGCTACACCAGTTGGTTTCTTAAGTGCATTTTATTTAAATATCGTTTTCCAACATTTCACCCTGACATAATTTCTACCCTTGATGTTGAGGTCCGTTTCTCTAATGCAACAGAAAGATGGATCCTATTTTCCCATCCATTGTTAGTATGTTTCTTTTTATTGAGGAATTGAGTGCATTGATACTGAGAGATATCAGTGACCAATGATTGTTGATTCTTATTATTTTGTTGGTGTTGTTCATGGTGGTGGTGTTGGGCGGGTGTTTCCCTCCTTTTGATTTTGCTTTTCTGAAATTATTTAGTACCCGTGTTCTCATGGGTGTAGTTAGCTGTCTTAGCTTGGAGTTTTCCTTCTACTACTTTTGGAGGGCTGAAATTGGAGATAGATGTTGCTTAAATTTGCCTTTTTACCATGGAATAGCTTATTTTATTGACTTATTGTGATTTAAAGTTTTGCTGTGTACAATAATCTGGTCTGGCATCTCTGGCCTCTTTCATTGTGCACCTCATCTGTCCAGGCCCCGCTGTTTTGGGGGACTCCATTGAGATGTCCAGTGCAATTCTAATAGGTCTTCATATGTTGCTTCATATTTTTCCATTGTAGCTTTTGGTATTCTTCCTTTGTTCTGCAAGTTTAGTGTTCTTATTATCATGTTGGGGGGGCAGAACTTTCCTTTCTGGTCCAAACTACTTGGTGTTCTGTAACATTTTGGGCATCTCCTTCTTTGGATTAGGGGAATTTTCTGCTATGATTTTGTTTTCTGAGCCTTTGAACTGGCTGGTTTTGTGTGTCAATTTGACACAAGCTAGAGTCATCAAAGAAGAAGGAACTCCAGTGTGGAAATGCCTCTGTGGGAACCAGCTGTAAAGCATTTTCTCAATTAGTGGTCAATGGGAGAGGGCCCAGCCCATTGTGGGTGGATCCATCCTTGGGCTGGTAGTTCTGAGTTCCATCATAAAGCAGACTGAGCAAGCAGGGGAAGCAAGCTAGTAAGCAGCTCTCCTCCGTGGCCTCAGCATCAGCTCTTGCATTTTGGTTCCAGCCCTGTTTGAGTTCCTGTTCTGACTTCCTCCAATGATGAACTATGATATTTTAGTGTAAGCCAAATAAACCCTTTCCTCCCCAAGTTTCTCCTTGTTCATGATGTCCTGGGATTAAACCTGTATACCACCACTGCCTGATCTCTATAGCTTGAGGCTGACTTTGCTTTCTGAATCCTCAGGCAAAAGCTTTAATAAATCATAAATAATACATCAACCCAGTTGCAGAAATGCCTCCATGAAAACCATTTGTAAGGCATTTTCTCAATTAGTGATCAGTGGGGTGGGTCTAATCCATTGCAGCTGGCGCCAGCCTTGGGCTGGTGGTCCTGGGTTCTATAAGAAGGCAGTCTGAGCAAGCCAATAAGCAGCACCTGTCTATCATCTTTGCATCCGCCCCTGCCTCCAGGGTCCTGCTCTGCTTGAGTTCCTGT